TTTTTTTTTCCTTTTATTTGATTTATAATTTTCTTAGTCCAATTACTTATAATTTCCTTTGCCCCCTTTTCTCTTTCCAAATTAGCTACCCAAATTACACTTTTTTCTTGAATAAGACATTCGTGGTTATTTTCCCTGAATTTACTCGAAATTTCGGATTTTTTAGTTTCTTGAGGTTAAATTTTGCTAGTTTTTGGGTGAACCCAATTGGGGTTTTTTGGGTTTTGCCTATTTTTTTTCTTGGTTTTGTGGGTTCCAAAGGCATGAACTTTGAGAGGCTTTAGGTGGGTTTTAAACTTTTAAGTGAAAATTAATTAATTCTTTCTTCTTTTTTTCCAAGAAGAAATATAAATCTTCTAGCCTTTAACATCAAAGATGAAAGCAGAGAAGCCTGTTTGGGTAAAGCATGGAGGGACGCAGATTTTCTCGGTCGATATACAGCCTGGTGCCCTCAGGTTTGCCACTGGCGGTGGTGATCATAAGGTATAATTTGCTTTTTCTTCTTTTATTTTTATACACTAAATAAAATACTGGAACTTTGAACAATCAACATTCATTCACGAGAGGCTAAATGGGTTTTGTGCAGAAATCATGAAATTAACTCAGATTCAGGAACCTTAATTGTCTTTTAAGTTTTAGATATGCCTGAACTGTACTTGAACCTTTTTATTTTCTGTGGTGTCCTTGCTATCTGTCACTTTCGTTAGGAATAGGTTCCCTCAGCAGATATCTTAAAGGAGTTCATCTTGATGTTAATGAATTTATATTAACTGTCTTGTATACACAGAGGCGTATTTAGAAGATAAAAATCCGTTGTTTATCATAATTTCTGGTCTCATTTATATTCTCATTTCTTAAAGAACAAAAAACTTCCCTTTTATGTTGCAGGTTCGCATTTGGAACATGAAATGTGTTGGTAGGGAATCGGGAGCTGATGATTCAACACCAAAACTTCTGGCAACTCTGCACGATCATTTTGGGTCAGTTAATTGTGTTAGGTGGGCCAAGCATGGTCGATATATTGCATCAGGATCTGATGACCAAGTTATTCTTATTCATGAGAGGAAGCCAGGTTCAGGAACCACGGAATTTGGTAGTGGAGAGCCACCGGATATTGAGAATTGGAAAGTTGCCATGACATTGAGAGGACACAGTGCTGATGTGGTAATAATGTTTTCTATTAAGATATCAGATAAACTAATGATGTTTTCACTTATTATATTAATAAGCACATTTATCCTACCACGGATGCTGTAACCAAGGACTTGCTTTTGTTCCATGCCTAAAGTAGGTGGATCTTAGTTGGTCTCCAGATGACTTAATATTGGCCAGCGGTAGTTTGGATAACACAATTCATATCTGGGACATGAACAATGGCATCTGCACAGCTGTTCTTCGTGGTCATTCCAGTCTGGTCAAAGGTGTGGCATGGGATCCCATTGGTTCATTCATTGCAAGTCAATCAGATGATAAGACTGTCATTATTTGGAGAACGAGTGACTGGAGCCTTGCTCATAGAACTGATGGTCACTGGGCAAAATCTGTAAGTCAAGAAATGAGTAAAATATTAATTGTTTCTTTTCCTTTGTTTCCTTAAATGCTGTTGATGACTTTATGTATTTCCAGCTAGGATCCACTTTCTTCAGGCGGCTTGGATGGTCCCCTTGCGGTCATTTCATAACCACAACTCATGGTTTTCAAAAGCCTAGACATTCTGCACCTGTTCTAGAGAGAGGGGAATGGTCTGCCACTTTTGACTTCTTAGGACACAATGCTCCTATTATTGTTGCAAAGTTTAATCATTCTATGTTTAGAAGGAATCCTTCCAATGCTCAGGACTTAAAAACTTCGTCTCTTGGGTGGAGTAACGGTTCTTTGAAGACTGAAGGGAAAGATTTACAGCCATATAATGTTATTGCAATAGGAAGTCAGGACCGCACCATAACTGTCTGGACAACTGCAAGTCCTCGTCCTCTCTTTGTGGCCAAGCATTTCTTTACTCAAAGTGTTGTGGATCTATCCTGGTAAGTTTGCTCTTCAGCATCTAGAATGACTCGCCCTGAACAAACTGTCATTTATGCATTAAGATGCATGCTTGATTTGCTTCTTCCTGGCCTCCCTACTTTCATTTACTTTTTCTTAGGAATTCCATCTTCTGAATGCAGGAGCCCTGATGGATATACGCTGTTCGCTTGTTCTTTGGATGGTTCTGTGTCTGCTTTTTATTTTGATGTAAATGAACTTGGATATAGTTTAGGTGATGCAGAATTAGATGAGTTAAAGAGAAATCGTTATGGTGATGTAAGGGGTCGTCAGGGATACTTGGCTGAAAGTGCAGTGCAGCTGTTACTTGAAGCAGCATCTACAAAGCAAACCCCTAGCAAAAAGGTTATCCTAGACAATCAGACAACTCTAAAAGCATCTACTGGTTTAGAGGTCACGACAAAGATTAAGAAGGCTCATGCTAATGTTGGGAAGAATACTGAGGGATCAAATAAATTGGCTTCTTCTGCTCAGATGTCAAGTCCTGTGAAGCAAAAAGAATATAGACGACCTGACGGTCGAAAAAGGATAATACCAGAAGCAGTTGGAGTGCCCGTCCAACGTGAAAGAATCGTTGTTGATGCTCAGTGTGATGCCCCTGAATTTCCTGTTAAGTCTTTAGATCATAGGAAGGTCGATAATAAAGTAATACATACTGATGGTGGTGCTAGAGAAGAATCCAACAGGAAAGCAGCAAGTGGGAGAGCTGATTTGAGGGAGCGCTCAGATGTCACAACTAGAGCTACTGTGACTGAGAGCCTTGTCGTTGAGAAGGTTCCAGAACTTCAGGGAAAAGAAGGGATTACTAACATTGAACAGACAGGCTATGTTACTTCCGCTGGTACTCTTTCGATAAGCATATATGATAAGAAAGAAGGGGGAGATAAAATAACAGTTTGCTTGGAAGCTCATCCAAGAGAACATGCTGTAAATGACATTGTAGTGCCCGGAAGTACTTTCATGATTAAAGAAACAGAACTTTCTTGCACAAGAGGGTCGCAAACTCTTTGGTCTGATAGGATTTCTGGAAAGATAACTGTTTTGGCTGGAAATGCCAACTTTTGGGTTGTTGGTTGTGAAGATGGGTGTCTGCAGGTTAGTCTAATATTCTTCAGCATTTCTAGTTGTAGTGCATATTTATAAAGTTTAAAAAAGTATGTTTTTGTGATTTCAACTGATGACAAGTGTCTCTCTTTTTAAACGCATTTGCATAAATATTATTTTTTTATTGAATGATCCAAAAATCATCACTTTTCATTTTGTTGTTTTGCTTCTTCTGTCAAGAAGTGCAATCTGAGCCTTTTTCCATCCCTACTTTTAATTTATGTGCCAGATTCACTTAGGTTTAATCTGTTTTGCCAATTTCTTTGCATTTTATCCTTG